CCCGCCCCTCCCACACAAGCCACAACTGAAAACAGGCGAGACAGTCACCCCCAAAGAAACCACAAAACACAAGCACAATGTCACAACAGCCACAGACAAAGCAAAGAAAGTTCTACTGGGATGGCCCCTCTCAGGGCCCTGGGGGAGGCGAGTCCAGCTACTGGGGGGTACTGGCAGACTGGGGGGTACTGGCAGGCCGGGGAGCAGAGGGAGGCGAGGAAAAGTGAGCTTTGCTTGAGGCCTGGGGCGATGCGGCCTCTCTCCCGGGCCGGGCACCAGCGCGGCCAAAGCCCAGCCGGGCTGCAGCCCGGGAAGCAAAGCCCGGGCGCAGCAGCCCGCTGGGGGGCCGAGGGCTCCTCTACGGGCATCTGGGAGCTGGCGGGAGGGGGTGAGGCGCCAGGTCTGCCCACTGGGTCCTCTGCTTCTCCCTGTCCCGACAGCTAACTCCGGAAGGGAGCCGGGGAATCGATTTCCAATAGATTCCCCGTCTGTCGGTCAGTCAGACTCTCCTTCCGTCCAGGGCTGGGGGGCCGACCTGGGGGCTGGGGGGCTCCACAAGGTGCGGCTGGACTCACTGCTCACGCTGGGCAGGGGACAGAGCCGGGGAGGACAGGAAAAGGCAGGGCTGGTAGAAAGCAAGGAAAGCTCCAGTCCGCCCAGTGGGGCAAGGAGGAGCGGGCGGGGAGGCTCCAAGACCCGTTTGGCCTGGTTTTGCTGGAAGGACAGGGACATCATGCAGAGTTCGACATGGCCCGCAACACCGCCACACAGCCGTACACTGCCCCGCCAGCCGCTAGCCCATCAGCCTGGGGCTGGGCTGGCCCGGCTGTGGGGCACAGCTGGGCGCTCCAGGGGGACACTGAGGCTTGGGGCGCAGCGCCTCCGTAAAGCCTAAGACCACACATCATCCGCTGCATGTCTGAGGCAGGGCAGGGACTCAGGCCTGTCTGAGGGTTTGGGGGGCACTTACGCCACACTGGCATGGAAGGTGTGCCCTCATTCCCTTCTGCCCCCCATTCTGACAGTGGGCTCCAAACCACGCCTGGGTCGGGGCCTGCGCTGGGCTATGGGCAGTTGGGGTGTCCTGGGGGTCACTTTAGATGGGTGCAGGGAATGTTGGACCAGGCAGGCTGGAAGGGAGGGGTTGGGGTTTCCCAGAAAAATGACCAGGGGGTGGCAGGAGCTTGACTAGGGTGTCTCCTGCTCCATCTTCTCAGGAGCCAACTACTTCTAGCTTCTAACTGAACCAAAGTCCCTCCTGGTGCCCAGAGAGAAGGGAGGGGTACAGGGCCAGGGCTCTAGGTGCACCTGGGGGACTTCGAGGAGGGTGCCCTTCCCTGTCACCGGACCGCACGGAGACAGTGTGGGCTCCGGGCCAGCACTCAGACGGGCGAGGCGGGAGGGCGGGGCAGGGCCTTTACTCTTTGCTCTGCTCCTTACTCATTTTCTTCATTTTCATCCGCCGGTTCTGAAACCAGATTTTGACTTGTCTCTCACTGAGATTGAGGAGTCTGGCCACTTCGTGCCTGCGGTCCCTGGTGAGGTACATATTGAACAGAAACTCCTTCTCTAGCTCCAGCGTCTGGTATTTGGTGTAGGGACAGCGCTTTTTCCGGGAGGAGCGGGCATGCAGCCAGTTGGCAGAGGGGTTGGCTGAAAGAGAAGCAGGGACAGAATGAAAGCAAGGAAGGAGGGGAGGTGGCAGCCCCAGGCCCAGGGGACAGGCTGCACCCCTGCCCTCCGCTGCCCATCTTGGGAGGAAGGGGCCTAGGCCTCCTGCTCCCCAGCAAGAGTCCCAGAGGCGGAGCAGCAGCAGCAGCAGCGGCTGCTCGGGACAGGTGGAAGGGGCTGGGGAGGGCGCAGTGCCTAGGCTTCCTCGCGCTTGCAGACCGCCAGCTGTTCTGGGTCCCGTCTCCGGCTTTCTGCACGTGCTTAGGACAAGCTGGTTAGGACTCAGGCCAGAGACCTGCCACCAGCACCAGCAGACTGGCCAAGGGGCGGCTGACCAGAAGGGTCCCTGGCTGAGTCTGGGAGAAGGCAGGTGGGGCCGGGCAGGGGAGGGGAGCTCTTTCGGGCTCAGCCACAGCCAGGAGGCCTCCCAGCCCTTCCCGCCGGCCCCAGCACCCTGCCTGACCACAAGCCAGTGGCATCAGGCCCCTTGGCAGGAGGCAGAGGTATCTGGGTCCAGGTCCTCCCTCCCGGCCACCACCGCCACCGACGCCACACACAGGACAAGCATGGGTCCACATTTAGAGCCTGACACCCGGCACACTGCAATTCACAGCAACCCAATTGCAACCATTCATCAAGCGCAGCCCTAGACAGGGAGCGCCGGGGCTCCCGGATAACGGATGGCTGCAATAGACTCCTTTTCTGCTGCGCAGCTCCACAGCACAAGTTCAGGGAAATGGGGGAGCACTGCTCCAGCCCCGGGGTGAGGGCCAGACAGAGCGGCCCTAGCGGGAGCAGAAGGACAAGCCTGGGTGGCGCACCTGGCCTAAGGACCCGGGAGAGGAAGAGGTAATTAAGTGCAGGAAACCAAAATACACACAGGCTTCTTTTTCTCCTTGCCCTCTCTGCCCAGACCCTAGAACTCTGAGAAGTTGCCAAGTAAAAGCGGAACCCATTAAATATAACATCCACACTCTACCAGCGGCCTCCGCCCCCAGTGAAAAGCACTGGATTTGCCTGCTTATTTTCTTGCTTCTTTCTTAAATTCAGTTCCCCACACACTCAGCACTCCGGTCTGCAGCCCTGTTTCCCTGCTGTGACCTCCCGGGATGGGCCACGCGGCTGCATTAAATATGAAAGAGGGAAAAACTGTTAATAATTGATCCCAGCCAAACGGCGGCTTTGCAGCGCTGGGCTTTCCAGGCAGGGTTGGGGTCTGGGTGCGGGGAGGGTGGGGTGCGTGTTCGAGGTCTCCCCATATGCCAGGTGTAAGGTCAACCTGGCAGGTTGGAGGTGGCAGGACCCAACCCCGGGAGCAGCCCAGCTCTTTACTGTCCAGCGGGCAAGGACGATCCAGCTGGCCACCCTGCTGGCGGGAGGGTGAGCAGGGACTCGGGCTCCCGTCCCTGCGCCCCCAAGAGAGCAGGGCAGGAGGACTTTGCGGCCAGCCTGTGCATTATTGTTTGGGGCCAAGACCTCCCGACCGGCTTGCCTTCCTTATCCTTAAAAACTGCACGCAGCAGACCCCCGCTCCTCTCGCCGCCCCACGGAGGGCGTCTTTTGGAAATCAGCCAGACCTGGGGTTCTTCCAGGGGCTCCTTGGGGAGGGGGAGCTGAGAGAAGCTACCCAGGAAGGGTGAAATTCTCCGCCTCTCCTCAACCCTCGCTCCCTCCCACCTCTCTTCTCGCGGGGTCCCGCTGGGACGTCCCCTGCCCGGCCGGGAATTCGGAAGTGATGCCGGGACTCCCCG